TTTCGCACACGGAGCGCTCGGTGGACCAGCGACTTTGGACGTGAGCCTCGTCCCAGATCACCAAGGCAATTCAATAACATATGGTGGACATCAAACCGACCAAAAAAGGTGGAATCATATTAGAACCAACCAACCAACCAAGGACGATCTACGGAAGGAAATAGCCGGTGAAGCACGGAATGAAATACGAAGCGTGCCCAATGGATTCCAAAGGAAGCAATTAACGGCGGTGGAAGAGCAGAATATGGTGTTTACAAATTAAATATCAAAATTAAACTAAATACATGCTAGGGTTGAAAATAATATTTTCGAACCTGGAAGTGCGTATGTATGACCAATATCCATTTGATAACGGCGATGCATACATGCGGGGCTTATTGTAAGTGAAGGTATCCTCGGAATGGGCGTGACTCTCTAAACATTCTGAAATGGGTTGCTGGATCTGCAAAGAGCTATCACCTTCTAACTCCCGGACTAAAGCTGTCTACAATGACCATGAATGCGACATGGTAGAGAGATTTCTTCCATAATAACACTGCCGGCCAGTGGGGGTTAGAGGGAACACACACACACACACACACACACACACACACACACACACACACACACACACACACACACACACACACACACACACACACACACACACACACACACACACACACAGGCGAACCCAGAAAGGCGAGATCCTCTTTGAGCTGAAGAAGGATCCTGCTATCAAGAGCTCAGCCTACAAGGAGCTCGTTGAAAAGTCTCTTGGCGAAGGGGCGAGCGTAAGAGCTCTATCCCAGGAGACAGTGGTCGAGTGCAGGGACCTGGACGAGATCACCACAGAAGAGGAGCTAAGAAGTGCGTTGAGAGTGCACTGCGATCTGGGAGATGTCCCGATGTCAATCCGCATGAGGAAGGCGTACGGCGGCATGCAAACGGCGGTTATACGGCTTTCGACAGCTGCAGCGAATAAGCTGTTGGAGACGGGCAAGGTCAAGGTTGGCTGGTCATTGTGCTCGCTGAAAGCCACTCCTCGGGTTACCAAGCAATTGGAGCGATGCTTCAAGTGCATGGGATTCGGTCACCAGGCGAGGAACTGCAATGGCCCTGACAGATCTGATCTGTGCAGGAAATGCGGAGAGAAAGGCCATATTGCAAGAGGCTGCACGAAGCATCCGAGGTGTATGCTCTGCAAAAAAGAGGACGGTAACGATCATACGACGGGAGGCTTCAAATGCCTAGCATACAAAAAGGCGATGGCAGGCCAACAGTAATGGAGGTAACCCAAATAAACCTCAATCATTGCGACATTGCTCAGCAACTGTTGTGGCAGTCGACAACAGAAACAAAGTGCGACGTTGCAATCATTGCGGAACCGTATCGAGTCCCTCCCGATAACGGTAACTGGGTTGCGGATAGAGCTGGGATGGCAGCTATACAAGTTATGGGCAGATACCCCATTCAAGAAGTGGTTGCGAGCTCATACGAAGGCTTCGTCATCGCCAAAATCAACGGAATTTTCATGTGTAGTTGTTACGCACCCCCCAGATGGACGATGGAGAAGTTCCACGAGATGCTTGATGGACTTACCGAAGAGCTGGTCGGACGACGACCGGTAGTCATCGGAGGAGACTTCAATGCTTGGGCAGTGGAGTGGGGAAGCAGGTGTTCCAATGCAAGAGGGCACAGTCTGCTGGAAGCTCTGGCAAAACTGGAAGTTATGCTGGCCAATAAAGGCACCAGCAGCACTTTTCGCAGAGATGGCCGAGAATCCATTATCGACGTTACTTTCTGCAGTCCGTCGCTGATGGCAAACATGGATTGGAGAGTGTGCGAAGGATATACCCATAGCGACCATCAGGCGATACGATATGGCATCGGTCAACGGAATACTGTGGCAGTACGGAGGACGAGAACTTGTGACCGAAAGTGGAAGACGAAAGCTTTCGACAAGGATTTGTTCGTTGAGGCACTTCGTGTGGACGGGAGTCCCGTAGATCTAAATGCGGACGAGCTGACAGAAACGTTAGTGAGAGCATGTGACACGACCATGCCGAGGAAACTGGAGCCAAATAACAGACGGCGTTCAGTCTACTGGTGGAACGAGGCACTTAGTACTCTCCGCGCTAGTTGTCTCAGAGCCAGAAGACGTGTTCAGAGAGCAAGAACGGAAGCAGACAGAGAGGAACGAAGAGAAGTGTTTCGAGCGGCCAGGGCCGCTTTTAAACGAGTGATTAAGCAGAGCAAGTCGAACTGTTTTAAGGAGCTGTGTCGAGACGCTGATGCCAACCCCTGGGGCGACGCATACCGAGTCGTGATGGCGAAGATCAGAGGTCCAACGATGCCCGCTGAAATGTGCCCAGAGAAGCTGAAAGTCATCGTGGAAGGACTTTTCCCGAAGCACGACCCAACAACCTGGCCACCTATACCGTACGGAGAAGGAGAGGGAGATAACGTCGAAATCACCAACGAGGAGCTCGTAGTAGTGGCGAAAGGATTGAAGGTGAAGAAAGCTCCCGGTCCGGATGGAATCCCCAACGTAGCGTTGAAAGCGGCGATCCAGTCATCCCCGGACATGTTCAGGATGGTGCTGCAGAAATGCCTGAACGAGGGTCACTTCCCTGACAGGTGGAAGATACAGAAGCTAGTGTTGCTGCCGAAACCAGGAAAACCGCCGGGGGATCCAGCATCATACAGGCCTATATGCCTGCTGGATACACTCGGAAAACTCTTGGAGAGGATCATCCTAAACAGGCTGACGAAATACACGGAGAGTGAGCACGGATTGTCGGAGAGGCAGTTCGGATTCCGGAAAGGGAGATCGACGGTGGATGCAATTCGGACAGTGGTCGAGAGAGCTGAAAAGGCGTCCAAACAGAAGCGGAGAGGAGATCGATATTGCGCCGTGATAACGATCGACGTCAAGAATGCGTTCAACAGCGCCAGCTGGGAGGCCATCACCGAAGCACTGCATAGAATGAGGGTCCCTGACTACCTGTGCAGGATCCTGAGGAGTTATTTCCAGAACCGGGTTCTGGTCTACGAGACAGACATGGGACAGAGATCGATTAGGATCACAGCGGGAGTTCCACAAGGCTCCATCCTTGGTCCAACGCTCTGGAACGGGATGTACAACGGCGTGCTAACGCTGAAACTGCCCAAAGGAGTTGAGATCGTTGGCTTTGCGGACGACGTCGTCTTGACGGTAACAGGCGAGACGCTGGAAGAGGTGGAAGTGTTGTCAACCGAGGCAATCGACATGATTGGTAACTGGATGAAAGGAGCGAAGCTGCAAATAGCCCACCACAAAACGGAAGTGTTATTGGTCAGTAACTGTAAAGCGGTACAGCGGGCAGAAATCACCGTCGGGGAGCACACCATAGCCTCGAAGCGTGTGTTAAAATACCTGGGAGTGATGATCGATGACCGGCTAAACTTCAACAGCCACGTCGAATATGCCTGTGAGAAGGCTTCGAAGGCCATCAACGCGATAGCTAGAATCATGCCGAACAACGCTGGTCCCAGCAGTAGCAAGAGGCGTCTTCTGGCCAGCGTGTCATCATCGATACTGAGATATGGAGGTCCAGCCTGGATTGAAGCGCTGAAAACGAAGCAGAACCAAAGGAAATTGAGCAGTACGTTCCGGCTCATGGCCATGCGAGTCGTGAGTGCGTACAGAACCATCTCGTCGGAAGCAGTATGCGTTATCGCCGGTATGATCCCTATCGGCATCACCCTGGCGGAGGACAGCGAGTGCTACAGGCAGAGAGAAGCCGGAAGAGTACGGAAAGTTGTGAGAGTGGAGTCATTGGCTAAGTGGCAACAGGAGTGGAACACGACGGAGAACGGTAGATGGACACATAGACTAATACCGATTCTTTCGACCTGGGTGAACAGAAAACACGGAGAAGTCAATTTCCACCTAACGCAGTTCCTGTCTGGCCACGGCTGCTTCAGGAAATACCTGCATCGGTTCGGACACGCAGCGTCACCCCTCTGTCCGGAGTGTGGCAACGTCGATGAAACGCCGGAGCATGTGGTCTTCGACTGTCCAAGGTTCGAGGCAGTGCGAACGGAGATGCCCGTCCTTAACGTGGAGAATGTCGTCGATGAAATGTGTCGAGAGGAGGACTCTTGGAATGCCGTCAGCAGGGCAGTCACACAGATTATGTCAGAGCTGCAGCGTAAATGGAGAGAAGAGCAGCGATCTAGCAACGCCAGCTAGCGCTGAGAGTACGACAAGTGCATGAGCACAGCCACCCCCCGAAGTAGTCGCTTCACAGTGGTCCCGGGGGGATCCAGGCAGAGGAGAGAGTAAGGAATGGGTTTTAGTGGAGCTGCACTAGGCAACTAGTGGATACCACACCGTGCCACCTTCACTACAGGCCAGGCTTCTTGAAGCTTTCCTAAACCTTACTATAAAAAAAAAAAAAAAAAAAAAAAAAAAAAAAAAAAAAAAAAAAAAAAAACACACACACACACACACACATGAAAAATAATGACACCAGCAGGTAGATGAATGTTTCTTCTACCAACTAGCATTGATATTTTGGAGGGGTGAAATTTCATTCGCGAGAAATTGACGGCTAAAGCCATTGTTTACAAAAGCAATTACGCCCCTTTGAAATGTTGGCACTGACTTATTGATTGGGAGCTTGCTGTGCCAGCCAATGCATGAATTTGTATATTGTGCAGCAAGCACAATTACACGCTATGCCCTGAGAAGTCAAGGAAATTTCCAACCCGATAGATTGTCACGACTGGACCGGGAATCGTAATACCGTGCCTTTACTGTCCAGACTATCGGAGGCCCCAACTCGTACACTTAAACATTCCAGGGAAGTTCGGATAATGTATGTTCTACAGTAGAGTAGCTGCACCAATTTCAGACATGGTAAACAAAAGGATTGTCCAAAATTGGCACAGATAACCTATTGTCCGAGTATCCTTTCACATTCACATAGGCAATAGTCTATATTCACGCACATGCAATATTCACTTTCCCTTACTTACCTTTGTCTTAGAATTTCAGATGCCCCCTCTCGTCGAGCATGTCCAGGGCAGCCAGTTCTTCCGCGTGCTTGGTCTTCATATGCACACTGCGTGCCTTGTGATGGGCAAATCCAAGGCCACAGATGCGACACTGCAGCGGCCGTTCCCCGGTATGCGTTCGCATGTGGACAATCTTGTGAGTGGACGTTCGAAACGCCTTATCACACATGTCGCACTTATGCGGTCGCTCGTTACTGTGCACGTACAGGTGCTTGTTCAGCGTGGTTCTCATTAGGAACATTTTTCCGCAGACCTAGATTGAGAAGATATTTTCTGGTTTGGTAAATTGACTGATTGGTTTTGTATCCACTGCATAATATTACCTGACATTCATGCTTCTTATCCTGTGTATGGGTCAGTTTATGGCACCGTAACGTTCCAGCAAACAGGAACGACTTCGGACAGAGGTCACACTTATACTTCCGGTCGCCTTTGTGAATCCGTTGATGACCTTTAAGATTATTCTTCTCCAGAAACGCTTTGCCGCAAACTTCACACTTAAAGTCTCGTTTCTTCAGATGAACACTATTGATGTGTGATTGGAGCTTATTGCGAGAGGTAAAACTCTTTGGACACTGTTCGCATTGGTGTGGTCGGACTTCCTCATGGATAACCATATGGCTTTTGATGTTGTTGACCAAGGCTCCGCAAATCGAGCAAATCGTCTTCTCTTTACGTTGCTTCTTTGAACGACCCTTCGAGCTTTGCATCTTAAATTTACGTTCTTGTTTGTTTGCAGACTTTTTCTTAGGGCGCTCGGAAGGTTCTTCCTTTCCCGTATCATCCGTTATTTCCGTCTTCGCTAATTCGTCTGGCTTCCAGTCGCTATCCGAGTCTCTATCGTCCAAAAAATCACCTTCGTCGTCATCGCCATCTTCATTGCTCTCGGCTTCCTCTTGATCCAATGAGGGACCTCCTTCAACCAAATGTTCAATGTCGTTCAGTTCCAAATTGATGTCCAGCAACCCTAAGCTTGCCACTTCCTGCTTGATTTCTTCGGGTTCTATTTTCAGGGAAGCGTCTCCTAATTCTATAGTAGTAACAAGACTTGGCGGTGTGTCAGCCCTTGGAAGTTCTCGTACTTTTTCTATATTAATCTCTAGTGGGAGCTACAACAAAATCGATTTTTCATTTAGATTCGCTGAAACCGAAACACTTATAATACCTTTTTGAGAATTTCCGCAGGAGTCGATTCGCTACCATCTTTCGTCTTGAACCGGCATTGAATTGAAACCTTTTCCTCCGGAGGACAATCTTCTGTTTTCAATAGATCTTCCGGAACAATGGTTTTGTCTCGAACTTTTTCCAAAATTCTTCTAGATTGATCACATTTCTTCTTGAAATTGTAAATGATGCTAAGATTTCGTTCACATTTTTCACATATGAAGTTAGGCAATTTATCCTTTTTATCGATCTAGAGGTGCAGTTTATACATAATTATTATGATCCTATCAATAAATGAAAATGAACCACTCAATTACCGATTGCTCCAGTACCCGGAAGGCTTCCTTGATGAAATTCCTTACGTAGAACACATTCCTGCCCTGGACGTTCGAGTAAACATTGACCAGACGCTCGTTGGTCAAACACAGCCGGCACAGACGATCAAAGTTTGCAATGTAGAAACGAATCTGCTCCAGCTCCTGATGGAATTTGTCCTCGTCGATGACGTCCGGTTGCAACCCAATGGGTTCCATTATACACCAGGGATATTCCCGATTTTGTTGAGTTAAAATTTGACGATTAACAGGCTAGTCGCGAAAATTGTACCGAAAATGGAATATTCGTAAACAAAATAATGCAGTCGCGTTGCTTGCACAAAGTGCATTTATTGACGATGACAACTTAGGATGCAATTTTAGATCATATTCGGGACTAGCGAGACTTCCAGGGGGCTACTCAATTGGCGTTGACTAGAGAGGGTCAAGGATACTACACTCAAAAATATTACAAAACGAGTATAGATCAAATTTTATGCATTTTATGGTTTTTCAAAATTTATACATTGTTTCATGTTCGCATGTGATCTACTGGGCAGCGAGTGGGCAGCTAGACTGCGTGAGCACGAGTTCATCCTAATGAACATCGAAATTGTAAGTATTTGTTTAATAATATTCATAAAAAATAAAATAATTAATAAAAACCTCCCTGAGACAATTTAAATTTTTATTTGAAACCAATAACACAGACAAACAGACATAACACTCGCAAGTTGTTCATCGAACAAGCATTTAACGGTCAATTTAAAAGTATCGTAGTTGGTAGTACCGCCACCTGTGGCGCGCATACTCAATTTCTTTGCGTTTGACGTTTACGCACTACCGCCATCTGTTCAGCGTACTACCCACCACACTGTACTCAACAGATGGCGGTAATGTTTTAGCGACGACGTTTTACAGTGATAAATATTCAATGAGTTATGTCTGTTTGTCTGTGCCAATAATATTTACCGTAAATAAAATAAAGAAGCTTAAAATACAGAATAAACCGTTTATATCCCGTACAAAAACTCCAATAAAAAAAGAATGATTTTCATTGTCATTGTAACCATGGTATTTACTGTCAAAACATTGGCATCATGGTATTTGAGAAATTTACAGTAAAAAAAGGGGTTTGTTAAGCATCTTAACAAAAAAAAAGTGATTTTTCTCAAACAAATTTGATCGCATCACACGAATTTTCGTTGTTTGAGTATTGTATCGCTAAAAGTCGAAATCTATTTTTTCTCCCGTACAATAATTTAACAATAAATTTTAATGTACTCAAAATTCAACAGTAAAAATCATAGTAATTCCGTTGTTTTATTATAATTTTTTTTTTTTGGGTGTGCATTGTAAGTTTATTTCGATTTTATACTATGGCACGCCCAAGGGCACGCCGCATTAACCATTTTTATACTATATAGTAAGTTTGCATTCTCTCCCTTTATACCGACCTTTGCATCGGTACGGAGAGTCGCGATTTAGCGTTACTTTTATACTATAGACTTCTCTGACGTTTGTGAATTGCACAAGTATTAGTGCAGAACTTTGGGTAAATTCAAAGGTTTTCTTGCACCAATACTTATAATTTACCCAAAGTACTGCACTAATACTTGTGCATTTCACAAACATCAGAGAAGTCTATTGGCAATCTAACGATAGCATAAAGCGCCACTTGTGGCAAATAGAAAAACTAGAAAACTGATGATGGCATCATATTTTTGCACGGCGAGGTATGGGAGAATATTTTAAAAACGCTTTTATTTAACGAATAAAGTATTTTCTTTAAATTTGGTTGTGCATACGATCCACGCAGAAAAATTTATCGTTGAAACAAAAATATTTGAGGTAAATTTAAACGTAAACTCAGTTTGTTCTGGCCACAAAAGTAAACAAGGTTTATTTCAAACGTATTCCATGTTTGAAGTCATGTGATATTAATGTTTAAATAAAAATAATGTTTCGTTTATTTTAAAAATATTCGTGTTGACGTATTAGTGACGCTAGTGACGTCACTAATTGCTTGTATCTTACATGCGTTTCATTCACCCAACCCTAATAAAAATTGTATGGTTAATTTGCTTAACGACGTGTTCTGGGTATCATCCAAACCATTTGTGGAATAGTTCAATGATTTGGGTTATCGTTCGTTTATGGTTATTTTTTATTAGGGAACTTAACCGATTGCTTCACCATTGGTCCAACTTAGCACTTAGTGTCTAGTGCAAGGCCAGCGCCATCAGGTAGTCGAAGAGAGGTTTTAAGAGGGAAAGTCGCTGTTAGTGGCGCTTAAGTCAAATAGGAATCTTTACACTAGTTTTTAGAGAAATTTTGTTCGAGCCTCAACGCCTCAATGACTGTTCTCTGTGGATTAGTGACGTTTAACACACACACACACTAGCGGGTGTATCGCCGTGTTAAGTTGTTTATTATTTTCCTCTGGCTAGCCTCAAAACTGTATGAAATTAGATCTGTCAAAATGAGCTTGACAGCAATATGTTGTGTATTTTCTTCGGATTTTCACTAACACGCTCTCACATATCGCACCAATACAACCGGACGTGAAAATCTCTATACCTAGAAATACTCAGAGGAAGAGATGGGTGGAGAGAATATCAGTGCTAACATTTGAAAACGGCACAAAAGCCATTTGTAAACAAATGGTTTGTGGGCCCTTTACTCACTACTTGAAGTACACCCACGCGACACAACAGCAACATCGGGTAGGGGAAATTTTCCCCTTCCTGACGATGCTGTTGGTTTGCGTGGGCGTTCTTCGGGTAGCGAGTAAAGGGCCCACAAACCATTTGTTTACAAATGGCTTTTGCGCCGTTTTCAAATGTTAGCACTGATATGTTGAGCCAAATGAACTGTCAAAATCTGAGCCAATCGAACATTCCCATTAGAATTTTTCCGAGGATTTCTTAAATTTGAGAGTATTGCAATTGAACAGAAATTCAGTCACCTTTATGTTTCGTGTGCTTCTTAAATTTAACTAGTTTTTGAAATCAAAAACAATATTTCAGCTCTATTGATTAATTGATCTTGGTTGGTTAATTAATGGCACCAAGTAATGAGCAAAATATTACGATGCAATCAATTATTATTTTGCACGTAAATCGAATCAAAACTAAACGTCAGTGAAATTTACCTTCTTTAATTTAAGCTTCTAGCAAGGGTTCCCTAATAAAATTGTTATGGTTATTTTACTTAACGACGTGTTTGGGGTACCATCCAAACCATTTGTGGAATAGTTCTATTATTTGGGCTATCATTCATTTACGGTTTTTTTTTATCAGGGTTGCAAGATAATTTAGGTACAAATCCTTTGCTGCCGAATTGTATTTTATTTTCTTTGCTCACCCTAATAAAATTTATACGGTTGTCGACGTTGTCAGTGTACCATCCATATAGTTCGGGTATGGTATCTTTTTATTAGGGTATCTCTCCCTTAAAATGAAATCTATTGCACACAATAATAACATGACTACTTGAGAGTCATATCATATGCTTTGCATATAAATCATAACCAGCATTTTCATTCTAAGATAAATTTCATAAGAAATTCCAAGTGCAAAATTATATGCCTACCATAAATATATAACATTGAATGTGGAACTTGGCTCAGTGCTCTGAGTATTTCTACACGGCGAATAAGAACGACCCAAATTTGAGTTTAGTTAACTCATAACCGCCAAAAGTGCAGGAGCTCAGCGATGATTAAATTTGCCTCATGTTTTTCCAGGATTTTCCAGAGAAAAATTCCCGAATTTGAGAAAAGTAAAGATTGGATTCACTCAGTCTATTGGTACTACTTCGAGGCTGAATAAAATTTTCGTCAATTTCCTCATTTTCCGGCAGATCTCTTAGGTTTTCCACAGGAAACTATGAGACAAATTTTACTCATCGCTGAGTTCCTGCACTTTTGGCGATTATGAGTGAACTAAACTCAAATTTGGGTCGTTCTCATTCGCCGTGTAGTTTCCTCCTTTTCCTCTTCCTCTTACGGAAAGACGAAACTCAAAATTAAGTCTTTTGTACTCATCTTGACACCTAAGTGCAACCAGACAAAATTGAGTTCTTTGCCAAGCATCCAATTTTAAGTAAATTGCAAAGACATCGTTTTGAGTCAAAGGTATCTGTTGCATAAAGAGTGACTATTAGGTAAAAAATACTTAAAATTGGGTTTTTATCGCAAGAAATTTTATTTTAAAAATTTGGATGTAATTGTTTCTCTTCAATATTTAAATTAAGCATTCTTATAAATAAACCATATTTTTTTATTAATTACTATCAATATGTACACAAGTAAGGATCGATACATAAATTTAACATTGGTATTTTCTTTGAAAATTTTCTTCATCTAACAACTTTTCCTTCCTCTTGACGGTGTTGTCCTAGCTGGTACTGTAGATATCCATCTTGTGCTCCAGATTGACCATGTGTGGATGTCTGTTGTCCAGACTGAGGTATTTCACAGCTGGACACTTCGATCACCGACAAACCGACATGACACTTAATTTTGACTTATGTCCGAAAATCGTAAACGGTCGATTTAAATGTGCAGTGATCCGAACTGTCAAAATCATGAGATTTTTTGATCTAGATAAAAATAATTTGTTCAGAATAGATCAAACACGAACCAATTCATAACTTTTGCATGCGGGTTCATGGCTTAGCTAAATATTTCCCGCGAACCCGGAGCCAGATGTCATTAGTGTGCTTTGGTTAGACATTTTATTATTTTTGCTTTGGTCATTCATGTCGGTTTGTCGGTGCTTCGATCACCGAAACCGCACACCATAATCTTCTTTCGAACCGGGTCTATAATAATTAAAACTCTTGTATTTCTGACTTTAAATTCACATGAATGTTGAAAACTTACCCCATCGAACAGTACGTCAGTTCAATGGAAATGTTAATTCACTACCTTATGCACTACCGATTATAGATCACGAAATTATGTTGCTTCCGCCAGAATAGAAATCGAAAACGAAATAAATATGGTGCACGCTGCGAATTTTCATCCAAAATTAAGAGCAATCGCCACACTTGATTATGGGTACTTTCGAAGCGAAGAAAAAAAATAAACTCAATTCGAGATAAATGTCCTCATAAATAAGACTAGAGTTTGAGTAAAATTAACGAAAAGTAAGTGTTTTGGTTATACTTCAGAGTAAGTTAAAAGTATTCATGAATGAGAACGAAATTTCATCTAAAAAGAGTTGTTCCATCTTTCCGTGATAGGTAGAATCTGAATCCAATCTAATTTCCAAATAGAAAAAAAATCTTCGAAAACGATGATTCCATGTATAAACATTGTAAACATAAACAAAATAACTTTGTAGTGTTGTTTCGTTGTTTCCCAGTAACATACTGTTTTTTTTACTGGAGTAATAATAGGTATTAGACCTATTATTTGAATTATTTCATCGAGTTAAAAATGAATTTGGAAAACTTTGACGCCCTGCAGAAGCGTTTTGAATTTGTGTGCGAAAACTATCACCAGTTGTGTCGGTTTTGTTTGGATACGAATAATCTGCTGACCATCTTCTGCCAAGCCGATGAAGCCTCGTCGAAGGAAACCGAATCCGATTGGGTATACAACGATGAACGAAATATCGGCAGCATGCTACAGAGGCACTATATTGAGGTGAGATCTGATGAGATTTGGATTTTGTTGAAATTTTATTATAGTATAAACTGCGCAAACTACTTGCAGTTTGATCCGGAGGAAGAGTACGGTCTTCCGAATAATATATGTGAAAGATGTGTGGACAACCTGGTCCGGTGGCATCGGTTTCAAGAGACATTTGCTTCAACGACTAAACTGTTGTTAAAGGTTCGAGATCAGTTTACATGCAAGGATGATCCTTCCGAAACGAGCGATCAAGAGGACGTAGATGATGGTGCTGATGAAAGCCAGGACAATATACTATCGGAAGGCAACGAAATCTATGAGATTGAGTTCGTTCAAAATCTGCCGGATGATGCAACTGTTGAGAATGTTACTATAATTGAGACTGTTGACGAAGCAGTGGATACGGAGGAGGAGGAGGAACTAAAATGTATAGCGACTGAAGACCCTAAGGAAGAGAGCAAGCAACAGATAATAGACCTAAAGGTGGATTTCAAGGAAGAATCTCTTGCAAGTGTTTTAGATGAACAATCTATGAAAGAAAAGAAAAGAAAACGTCAATTGAAGGACGCATCGGAAAGCGAAGATTCATCCCCGAAGCGATCGTCGAGGCAGCGAAGTGAGCAATGCAGTATCTGTGGAATGATAGTTAAGGCAAAAATGAAGCACCACCTAATGCGTCATTCCGATCCTTCGGGACAACCTTTCAAGTGTCCGGAATGCGATAAGTCCTACTCGTTTAAGAGATCTTTGGCAGATCACATTCGTCAAGTCCATCAGAACGTACGTTACAGATGTGAACTGTGCAGTAAAGAATTTGTCAGTAGAGACGTTTTACGGATTCACAAGAAGCTGCACACTAACGAAGAACACCGGTGTGCCGTTTGCGATCAAATGTTTCAACAAAGGATGTACCTCAAGAAGCACATGGCCGTACATGATATGAAGAAGTTTATTTGTGACGAAGACGATTGTGGGAAGAGTTTTCGGTTCAAGGAACAATTGAAACAGCACACGAGAGTTCATACCGGAGAAAAGCCATTCGGTTGTGATGCCTGTTCGAAGAGTTTCCGTACGTCGAGTCATTTGAAGCAGCATAGGCGAACGCATACCCAGGAAAAGGTGTACAAATGCAAGCAGTGCCCCACGGAGTATGCCAATAAAAAGTCACTGGAGAGGCATATCTCCGCAGCACATGAGGTGAACGCGGCAAGGAAGTGATAGATGTGTTTCAATAAAAGTTGTTTCGATACTGGGAATGGTCGGAAGTTCATTGATCCGAACAATCGCCATTGGGGATCAGAACCAGATTTCGTAGTATTTTGCGTCTTTACATCGATTTTTAGGCTCGACTTGTCTGAACTCTGGAATGGTATTGGACGGTTACATCGCTGGGCTGCCCTAAATGAAGATATGGGTAAAACGAAAAAATGGGGATTTGAACTTTTAAGCAATAAATCAATATAACAAACGTTCATCCTTTCCTGAACTTAAACGAAGTTCTCTAAAATCAACTGATGTTCTCTTAACTTCTACGAATTAGGTGATTCGCCTAGTTGCTAAGTGTGCTCCCTTTCTACGGCCAAGTACTTTCCAAGTAAAACCACAAAAAGGATTCAATGACAGGGAATTTTATTTTTTTTTTTGTGCAACATCCATAAGCCTAACAAGTCTAACGACAGAAACATTTGACAAATCGCTTTATAACACTGAATATCCAATATTAATGTCGACTCACATACGATAGGCTAGAATGGTTCGGTATTTAAGGGATTGTTTTCTTACCAACTAAAACGAACATTGATTACTTGACCCTAAGTGGATGGGAACAAACAGAGGAGGTTGTTACAAACACAAAATCTGTTACGACTCTACGTAACGTTATCATTTTTTGTTTGTAAAATTTTAAAAACAATCTAAACACACTTTTCACTGATGAGATTTATTTTTTATCATTTCTAAAATGGCTCTCGGGACGTCCATCGTTTGGTCGTCGATTAGCACTATATCGAAGGTGTCCATGTATCGCGGTAGACTCTGTTCAGCCTGTTGGGAAATTTAAAACGTTAAATTTTGAATCGAGAAAGACATGACAAACTTACATGATCGAACAGAAATCCTATTTTCAACACATGCGACGACGCTGGGATTCCATCTGCCATTCCGGCATCTCCTATCGAATCACCCATGACGATCACGTGGTCCCGATCGTGCACCAGATCGTAGTACTCCGTCCCCTTCAAGGCCGTTTCATTTTTATTGAAAGTATGGATCATTTTATCCTGCAGCCCATTCAGATTGCCATCCGGGCTGTACTGCAGGAAGTTCGAAATCACCTTCACGTTTGGATGCATTACGTTCGCTTGTTGCAGGACCGATACCACCGAATCGCCGAGACCAGCCGAGAATACCAAGCAGGGCACCTTGTGCTGATCCAAGTCGTAAAACATCTGATGGGTGCCATCGCGGAGGCCATCCTTGAAGCGCTTGGCCACTTCGGCTATTTCCTCCCGTGGTAGTGGGAAACCTCTGCAGTAGAATAGAAAGGAATATCCATGAAGAGAATCTTAAGGCTATATTTGATTTGATCGAGCCCTTTTCAGCATAGTTGTCCCATTCCCATTGAACAAGTTTGACGTGCATTTTCTCCGCTGTGATTTTGTTTGCCCCTGGACATTGGCAAAACCTTGTGATGAATTGATTAGGCTACCAGGTCCCAGGGCTGATCTGGACCTTTACCTCATCGGAAAGGCGATCGAAGACGAAATCAAGGACCGGTACAAGCTGGACCCAATCGCTGTTTTCTGGATGACAAGGAGAGACGAAAGCGTGAAGGCCTACCAGGATTGTCTATTCCTGGTTCACTTCCAGAAGTGGACGGTGACGCTCAATGCGCTGCAAGCCATCCGCTCGATCTACTCCATCATCGTACGGTGGGAGCCATACCGTGGAGTCCATCGTGACGTAACGCAGTGCCAACGATGCCTCAAATTTGGACAAAATAGCCACAACTAACATGAAGCCACGCTGCAGCAACTGCGCTCAAGAACACGCCACTTCTAACTGCCCTGCGGATGGAGCCGTGGCGTTAAAATGCGCCAGCTTTCAGGCTTTCAGGACGGAGGATTGGCCACCTCTTCGTGCTCCTCATCAAAGGCAAGCGAATTCGCGGAAGCAAACCCCCCTTCAAGAAGCTTCTGGTGATTCTGGTGGACTGCCGACTCTCTCCGCAAGCACAGCATCGACGTGGGCCTTCTAACCGAGACCCATCTAAAGTCCGGCGACAGCTTCTGACCACAACATAATCCGGCTTGGGCGCACCAGCTCCAGGGGGTGGTGTTGCGGTCATCGTCAAGAAAGGAATCAAGTTCTAAACCCTGCCTTACATCCACACTTCTATCATCGAAGCTCTTAATGTGGAGGTGGAATCGCCAACTGGAAATGTCCGGTTCATCGCTGTTTACTGCCCTCGACAGTGTGCCGCCATCCGAGCCGCCATCAACGGATTAGCAAGTCAATTCAAGAACGACCTGACCGCCATTACTCGTTCTACCTCGCGATTTATCGTTGGGGGCGACCTGAATGCCCGCCATGAAGCTTGGCGGAACTACCAGCGAAACAGGAACGGATGTCTATTGTTCGACCACGCACAACATGAACTGTACACTGTGCAATTTCCGGAAGAACTAACTTTCATCTATCCGGCGGAAAATCTCTTCACTCTGGACTTTTTTCTGTCAAACATCGGACTACCCAAGCCGGAGGCGCACAACGATCTCAGCTCCGACCACCAACCGGTGGTGACTGAAGTCGGTATCAACGTGGCTCCTGCTAGAAGCTGCCTACGTAAAGACAACCACCATGTCAACTGGGTGCAGTTCGGACGAATGCTGGACAGAAACATCGGAGAAAATCCACCGCTCGAAACCGTAGATGACATCGATCGGGCGTTGGAAGGACTCCAACAGGCCATATCCGTGGCTGACGAGGCATACGTTCGACAAATTCCTGTGAGGGGTAAATTTGTCGCTATTGATTCCCACACCCAATTACTGATTCGCTTGAGAAATGTTCGTAGACGCCAGTTTTAGAGGACTGGAGAACTTGGCAAAAAACGTGAAATGACCGATTTGAACAGGCAGATTGCTTCCGAAATTAACTCACTCCGAAATCAAAATTTCGGGCGTGTTGTCCAGAATCTGAACGACCGCTCCAGACCATTCTGGAAGGTAACCAAGGTCTAAAAAACTCATCCCAAGCCCGATCGGTGAGCATGTCGCTTCATCGCATTTGCTTGGCTCGACTATCCAAAGTCCGCTCAAAAATCAGGTTGCGCAATGCGTACAAAACCTAGATGCCTCACCTCAGATTATAATTACATAACAACAGATTTGCTCAGCGCTGAAATGCACCAAGAACATGAAGGCTCCCGGGTTTGACGGTATATTCAACTTGATCTTGAAGAGACTCAGCATGATAGTGCAGTCTCTTCTAACCGCTATCTTCAACAGATGCTTGGAACTGCACTACTTTCCAAGCGTCTGGAAGGTAGCAAAAATCATAACAATCCGCAATCCCTGTAAGGATCAGCCCTTTCAGCGCTGAGCAAATTGGTAGCAGTAGCCGCTCAGCGCACCAATTCCAACATTCGATGGCAATTACTCTGGGTGGCCTAAATTCAAAGCCGTCTTTCAGGATTTGATGGCTCACTCGGGGGATACAGACGCCATAAAACCAACAATCAATACGAAACTAACGATTTTAAATTGGCTCACCACTTTAGTAGCCTATTGGTCCCAAGCAAACGATTAACGTACCCTATTCTAGTTGAAATTCTATTACTACACTATGTTTGTTTTGATTCGCTATGAAAGTTTGACAGATAACATCAGGGGTGTGTGGATTCATGCAGAACATGCAGGGGTGAGTGAAATAGCTTGGGACTGCTTGGGACCGTTGTTCTGGTACTGAGTGAGCCAAAAATAATAATGATTTTCTTCGGGACCCAGTGGTCTTAGAGTTACCTCTATGATAAAACTGTATCACCTCGATAAGGCGCTCATCGGAGATGCAGCTGGTGTATTGAATACCAAGATCCTTAGTGAAGGGAATTATCAACAAGCTTGGGAGGATCGCTACGAAAACAAACGGGTTCTCGTAGAAACCCACATCCGTGGTCTGTTTTCACCGTTTTCACTACAAGAGATGTCATCGGAGACCCATAAGGAGCTGAGAGGTCTGCTAACCGAAGTTACTCACCACGTCGAGAGCCTGAAGTTCCTCCAGCAGCAGATCACTGGCGTTTCGGAGCATATGATTGTGTATCAGGTCGTCTCCGCGCTCGACAAATCGACCCGCAAAGCCTGGGAAGGGATTCAGAAACAAAGGACATCTTCGTAAATACGAACCAACCATCACCTTCCTGAAGTCCAGATGCGAAATCCTCGAGAATTGCGAGGCGGCATTCCAGACTAGCAAATCCAGCTCGAAACAGAAGCAAGCTCCATCCACAAAAGAGCCATGCAGCATCGAACAGCCCATCCCAACTGACGAACTTGTGTGAAATTTGTGGTGGTTCTCACCGCAACCACCAGTGCTCGGCCTTGTCCAACCTTACTCCTGCCCAAAAGAATGAGAAGATACGAACTGCTGGAGTCTGCTTCAACTGCTTGCGCAAAGGGGATCGATCCAAGGATTGCCCTTCCGACAAGTCGTGCCACAAGTGTCAACGCCGACACCACACGTTGCTCCATGATGATGGGGCACCCCGCTATGAGAAGAAGTCCAACGTTTCCGCGGAAGCAGTGGCAAGCCCGCCTCTGGTTCCGGCTGCTCCGAATCAACCGATGTCGGTGCTGACGATTCCTGCCCCAGTGGATCCACCAATGTCAACAACCTGTTCGTCGAATGTTGTCTCATTTCCCAAGACGGTACTGTTGCTCACCGCAGTGGTACATGTCTTGGATAAAGATAACCAGCCATATCCGTGCCGGGTACTTTTGGACAGCGGCTCCCAAGTCAACCGAAGAGATGGTTAACCGCCTTGGCCTCCCAAAGAAATCAGCCAACGTTCCGATCGTGGGAATCAACGCCCTACGGTCCCTCGCCCGCGACAAGGTGGTGGTCAGGTTCCAGTCCCGTGTATCCAATTTCCACGCAAGCCTCGAGTGTCTGGTTACCCCGAGAGTGACCGGCACGATCCCTGCATCGAGAATAGACATCACCAAATGGACGATCCCTGAAGGAGTAATCCTAGCAGATCCCAAGTTTCACAGTCCGGATAAGGTGGACTTGCGGGAGTTATTCTTCGATATCCTGAAACCTGGTCAGCTGAGCCTAGCCGAAGGTCTTCCACAAGTCTGACACTTAGATCGTGTCAAACGTGTCGCTCCAATCCAACACAGCCGTTGAAGACATTGAGCAAAGGATGCACCGGTTCTGGCAAGTCCAGGAGGTGCCGGACGTTCCCAAGCTGTCGACCGAGGAAGCAGCATGCGAAGCCCACTTCCTTTCCACCTACCAACGTGACGAAACTGGAAGATTCATCGTGAAACTGCCGTTCAAGGACAATCTTCTCCAATTGGATAACTGTCGCAGTCTAGCTTTGAAAAGATTCCTGATGTTTGAGAAGCGATTAATCCGCAATCCCGAGCAGCAGGCTCAGTACGTGAACTTCATCCGGGAGTACGAAGCTCTCGGTCACTGCACCGAGATCAACGAGTCTGAAGATCCACCCAACAAGCAAACCTACTATTTGCCGCATCACGACACGAAATGTCGAGTCGTGTTCGACGCAAGTGCAACGTTGTCGCCATCGGAACTCTCTCTGAACGATGTACTGCAAGTTGGTCCAGTAATACAGAACGATCTGCACCATATCGCGCTACGGTTCCGAAAATTCAAGGTTGCCATCACCGGAGACATCTCTAAAATGTACCGTCAAATACTCAAAGCCCTGTTGGATCGTAGTTTCCTTCGAATTTTTTGGAGAGAGCACCCATCGTTACCCCTACGAGTCCTGGAACTCTGTACCGTTACGTACGGTACGGCATCGGCACCATATAAAGGAACCAGGTGTTTGCTGAAGCTCGTCGAAGAGGATGGTGAGGACTTTACTGTCGCTCGTATTGTGAAAGAAGAAACGTACATGGACGATGTACTCTCCGGTGCAGACTCGGTGGAGGACGCTATCGAGGCTCAACAACAGCTGAAGCAGCTCCTTGGACAAGGAGGTTTCCCCATACACAAGTGGTGCTCAAATTCACCGGAATTCCTAGAGCATATTCCCGTGGAGGATCAAGAAAAAAGGATCACGTTGGAAGAGCATGGAGTGAATGAAGCCATCAAGGTGATTGGCTTACTCTGGGATCCCTCTGCAGACTCGATACTCATAGCCTATCGTCCAAACCAACATTGCATCCGCAACGGCCCACGATAAGAACGATGTACTCCGAGATCGCCAAGTTTTTTGACCCCCTGGGACTGGTTTCACCGGTCATTGTTTTGGCGAGGCTTCTAGCGCAGAAATTGTGGCAGCTTAAGTCCGGGTGGGACGACCCGGTTGACGAAGACATCGGACAGCAGTGGCGACAACTCCAAGATTCCTTGTCGCAACTTCACGAGATCGAGATCTCAAGGCGCGTGACGATGGACAACGTGGTCGCCTACGAGCTGCACGGCTTCTCTGATGCCTCCAACAAGGCTTATGGAGCCTGCATCTTTTTGCGAAGTATTTTTGGCGATGGCTCGGCGAAGCTTCGTCTCATCACCAGCAAATCGAAACTGGCTCCCCTAAAAGAGCTGTCCATCCCACGAAAGGAAGTGTGCGCCGCTTTCCTACTAACCCAGCTGGTACAGAAGGTGTTACCAGCCCTGGATATGACTTTCCGTGAAATAGTCCTGTGGTGTGACAAGTACGGTCCTCGCTTGGATTAAGAAACCTCTCAACCAGCTACAGTTATTTGTACGGAATCGAATCGCAATTATACAAGAGCACACCAGTAAGTACCGGTGGGAGTATGTCCGGTCCCAACAGAACCCAGCAGACGTCGTATCCCGAGGTCAACTAGTTGAATCCCTGAAGCACAACAGCCTTTGGGTGGAATGGGCCCGAATTCCTGCAAAGAGTTGAGTACTACGTAGATGCCCCTGAAGACGTTCCAGACGAGAAGCTACCGGAACTTAAGGCCTTGGTACCAGGGCCAGATGTGAGTATGGACTTCCTATCTTTTCTTCCAAAGCTTCCGCAAAATCCAACGAGTTGTGTCCTGCTATGTCCTGCGATTCACTGCCAATTGTCGGAAAAAGGACCCGACCAATCGAGACATAAAGCCCCATCTGACCGTCCGTGAGTTACGCCGCTCATCTGAAGTCATCATGCAAGTTTTGCAAAAGGCACATTTCACCGACGAGATTAAGCTAATTCTGGCAAATAAACCCTGCAAGAGACTCGGAGGTCTTCGTCCAATTTACCACGGCGGACTGCTTCGAGTAGGTGGTCGGTTGGACCGCTCCCAATTACCATTCGAAAGTCGCCATCCAATCATTCTACCAGATAAGGATCCGGTAGTACGACTACTAACTCAACAAATGCACGTCAGGCAAACGGGCCTGATGAACGCCATGAGACAACGTTATTGGTTACTGAATGCAAGATCCACCATCCGATTTATCACACGCCGGTGCGTGAGATACTTCCGGACTAATCCTACCACTCCCAACCAATTGATGGGAAACCTGCCAGTATCGAGAGTAGTGCCGTCGCCCCCCTTCGCTGTGACCGGCGTGGATTACGCCGGGCCTTTCTGGACCAAGCTATTGGAGGCGAACCAGCCTAAGGCTGAAAGCCTCCTAAATAAAGCTAAATAATAATAATGGACCAAGCAAGGCACACGTCGTCCAACTTTGTTGAAGTCGTACGTGGCCGTTTATGTTTGCATGGCAACCAAAGCCGTCCATTTGGATGGCGTCTCCGGTTTGAGTACCGATGCTTTCATGGCGTCCCTTCGACGATTTATCGCTCGCCGTGGAATGGTCCAAGAAATCCATTCGGACAACGCAACCAATATTCGTGGTGCTCACCACGAATTGAACAACCTTTACCAGCAGTTTTGTGACCAACAAGCCGTGGAGACCATCGAATCTTTTTGCCGCAATCATGAGATTGAGTGGAATTTCATTCCACCCGACGCACCCGAGTTCGGTGGTTTGTGGGAGGCAGCCGTGAAGCAGGTAGTCGGCAATACGACTTTAACGTTCGAGGAATTGTGTACGATCCTGTCAGAAATCGAGGCCGTCTTGAACTCCCGACCATTGTTCGCAATTTCCAGCGACCCGGAGGACGACCGCTGATCGCCCCAGCTGAACCATCCCTGGAGAACGTCAAAGCATCCCGCTTGACACGGTGGCAACATCTCCAACTTATGCGCGAGCAATTCTGGCGTGCCTGGAGCCGGGATTATTTGAATACCCTGCAGCTTCGGAAGAAAAATCGACAAGAGAAGCCGATCATTCAGGAAGACATGATCGTGTTGCTTCACGATCGTAACCAACCTCCACTCAACTGGAAGTTAGGTCGCATCGTAGCCGTCTATCCTGGAACCGACGGCCTGGTCCGAGCAGCTGATGTCTTCGTGAATGGAACCACGTATCGACGTCCCATCAATAAGGTGTCCATTCTGCCCATCGAGGATAATGATCCCCGTCAAAGCCCTCCGACTTCCAAAAGGTGTTGAGCTCTCTCAACCGGGGGGAGGATGTTCCGCCTACCGCCGAAAGAGAGGAGAAAAACGTCGACCAATCAGCAACGAGCAAACGGTCGATGCCGTTCTATAAAAATCCCCGCAGTAGCGTGCTTAAGTTAAGTTTGAATCCCACCGAGCATCCGTTCACAGCAGCAGCAGCTTTCACCTTGTATCGAGAAACGAAGAGAAATAAACAGTAGTGTCTAGTGTAGTCGGCAGCATTCGTCATTTCTACTGCATGTCCATTGGTGTCCCGGAGAGCAGCGTCAAAACCCCCAGCTCTTTTCAGAGCTCCTGAGTTTAGAACTTCGATTGACGCTAACCAACTCCGTTCGCTCCCGCCCAGTACAGTTCGCTTCGCCTTGACAAAACAAGTTCAGAAGGAACAACAACATTCTTCTTCGGGAACAGTTTAGGTTCCACATATTATACATCCAATAATAGAGTTCTCCTCTTACATTAACCGTACCCTTAGAGACCCAAATAGGGTTGATGCATATATTATGTCACGCTTTAAGGGGGTAGGGGGGGTTTAAGATTTTGTGACAAGCAATGCATTAGGTATAGGAAAAACGTCACGATAGGAGGGGGGGTAATTTTTTGCTCGATTTAGCGTGACATAATTGATGCATGGGCCCATATCACACCGGTCCAGAAGCCACTAACAAGGAGTTCAAGCGAAGAGTCAAGGTGGAGTTTCGAAAACAAACTCCTCCACTGAACCTCCAACGTTCTTTCGTTTGCGACGACGCCACACGGGGACTCCTTTAAGAGCAGACTTCAAAGAACTAGGTGAGACAACATTGTAATGTACTGATTGCGACTATTACATATAAAAATTATGCTAAGCTTAGAGTGGCGACCATGCCCCGGCCTATCCTAGATTAGATGTACGAGAAAGGCAAAAACGATACCCTCCTCACAATGAAGAATGGCCTCAATTACATGCTCGGAATATCGCAGACAATATTGAACGAAAGAATAATATTTGACTTGAATAACTCACTTTACTTTACAGCGAACCTCGACTGAACCGTTAACTGTTTGTATAAATAACGATTGATAGTAGGTTGGTACTCACTTCAGCAGATCCCCCGTCTTGGACCACCATTCGATCATGTAGACCTCCTTCTCCTTGAGCGGCATGTGGGGATCGATTTCAATCGGCCGATACTTGTTGAAAAGCCGTTTCGTTTCCTCCAGTACGTAATCCGGCAACGATTTGCACTCGTTGAACATCCCGAAGCTGGTCAGAATCTTCTCCCCATTCATGAGTTTTTGTTTGGTGATTGTATAATCAAAATCCGTCACAACTTGGAGTTTATCGATCCCGCCGACAACCAATTCATTCAGCATGTGCTCCACCTTGTCGGGATCGCGAATTTTGACGTGATCCCGGTTGAGGATGGCCACTTCGGTAAGCAGGAATCTTTTCTGTCCCACCATGATGCCACGACTTGCGAACACTTGCCACAAGCGAATTTTGCGTACTGGGCCCGAGCACAATGTCAAATGTTGTTTTCGCTGTGCTTCTAGGGGGTGCAAGGCCAAAGCGGTTGGTATGGGTCGTCGAGCGGGGGTGGTGACAATTCTCGAAGAAACTGAAGCGTGGTGAGCGTATGTATGTGTATATTTATTTTATTTATAAACTTTTTGCTCGCTACTTTAGCGTTGTTTGCACTCACCCAGACAAAACAGAACGGTACAGTTACAAACAGCTGAGTTTAATGTACTTTTTATGACGAAAAGTACGTTCACTGGCCTCGGCGGGATTGTTTATTTCTCTGACCGTCTGCTGCAGTTGTCACCAAGGAGCGCTACTTTCCCCCACACGAATTTTTCACACTTACAGGATTGCAGTAAAACAACTGGCCTTGTTTCTCCAAATGATGATTATTGTGTTCCACTAATTGATGTATGTATATTCAGCTTGTGACCGACTGATAAGGAGTAGCTCTGCCAGTTGACTTGATAAGCACGTTTGTACTACGGTCCGTAGCTTGTGCTTTGGAACCTCCAAATCTCCAATTTTGAGAGGGCAAAATTATCGTTTTTCCACTAATCCTTTTTACCAACCTGTGCACACAGAGAGGGATGCACTTTTCTGAACAGTAAAATGATGGGATAGAAAGAAGAAAAATGATGGGATAGAAAAAAAAAACCGTGCCGTGGACATGCGAACAAAGGCTGCACCAAAACATAAATATAAACAAAATTCGCTCAACCGGACGTCATCTAGGGCACTCATGAGAGAGCGCTCTCAGAAGGCTCTCCCAAAATGCCACGACGAAGATTCGTTTTGAAAGTAATCGTTTTGATCTACAGTAGGAAAATGATGTAAAAACTGGTAAAAATTGCGGCTAAAACGCTGTCCAGACTGGAGAGTTATAACATGTTATAACGGTTGTCAACTAATTGCAACACAGAAACCACCATCAAGATAGCGCTATAACATGTTATAACTCTGTAGTCTGATAGTACGTTCAGACTACAGAGTTATAACATGTTATAGGGCTATCTTGATGGTGGTTTCTGTGTTGCAATTAGTTGACAACCGTTATAACATGTTATAACTCTCCATTCTGGACAGCGTTTTATAGTACGTTCAGACTACAGAGTTATAACATGTTATAGCGTCCGTCGCCATTCGAAAGGTTTGGCGCAACTCTCGAATAAAGAGGGAGTTTTTAAAAGATGACCTATTTGAATAGGAAAAGGTCGTTAGGAATATTCCTGCTTGCAAAATTATTCTGACTCATCCATTTCGCTTTCAAATCGGCTGGATAACAGAAGTGCGCGAATTACTTTACGTTCTCGAGTTATATTAAATCAAATTGATTTTGTGCGATAAGTTTCTCTAAAGGTACTAAATAGTAGTGAGTGAGTTTTTATCAACCAGTGGTTTTTTAAACGTTTTCTTTCTTTTTGTACAGTGGACATAAGTCCGTATTAAGTTCCGCGTAGTCTGTTCAGTGCGTTTATTTGTGAAATTGTACAAAAAAGGTAATTTTATAGAATTTTGTCAAAATTTAGAATTGTATAAGTAATGTGAGTTCGCGTTGGATTTCCAGCACTTTGCTTTTTTTTGTACGGGCTGGATATACGTTCCGTTCGGCTATCGTCTTGGACTTGGTATTTCCAGAAAATTAATAGTTTTTTTTCATTGCCGTTAGTAACCAACGACCGTTCAAGAGGTCCTCTGAGAGAAAAGTCTCATTTGTAGGGCAAAGCTTTAACACGACCAGTGGTCTCTCTTAATAGAGAGTGGCGCTTAAACCACTGAGTTAAATCAAAACCTCAGCGAAATTTCACGAACGGTTACAATTGGCCTTTACGAAAGTAAGCCTAGAGTGACCATCTTTTGTATCGTCCATTACTACAGCCCATCAAAAAGTTAGGTCACCGGTCGTCGAGTGTACAAATTCATGTACCATGAATAAGGATAGTTCTCAACTGATCAAGGAAAATATTGTCAATTCTAATTCGTATATCTTAATAATAGCAAATTTTAATTTTCTGAAACGAGTTCTGATGTGTCGGAATCATCTTGTTGGGCTAGAACCGATTTGCTAGCCCGAGTTTTTCGTTTCTTACCATGGTTTTCTCTATCTGGATCATGCGTCTTTTTGTGGGTGTGCATGTGGGTACTGGTTGAAAACTTCTTATGACATATATCGCATTCATAAGGTTTTTCACCTGTATGCGTTCTAAGATGTTTTACCAGCAACCACCTGAAAGAAATTAAAAGTACATACATAACAACATCCCACATTTTTTTGTTGCACTATAAACATACTTGTACAGGAAATTTTTCAAGCAAAAATCACAAGTAAATCGCTTGTCTTGTATATGAGATTTCTTGTGAACTGTAAGTGTTCCTTGCAGTGCAAAAGTTTTGCCGCAACCTTCAAAGTCACATATGTACTTCCGTTCGCCTCCATGTGTTACTTTATGGTTCCGCAAATTTCCAGAATCCAAAAATTTCTTATTGCAAATCTCACACGTGTACTTCCTGACTTTAAGATGGACTCCGTTTACGTGGACGTTTAGCTTCGTGCTGGTGCGAAAGGTTTTATCGCAGAAATCACAAGGAAATGGACGTTCGCCTGTGTGGCACATCAGGTGATACTTCAGGCATGTGGAATATTTTCCGCATATTTTGCACATTTGCCCTTTGTTGGAAGTATGCTTCGATGACGCTGATGCGGAATGTGTGTCAGTTATGTCGTCCGATTCGCCTTCAGTTGCAGTCTCAGTGCCATCTTCTACAAAAACTTCAAAGCTATGCTCTTCCATTACGGAATCCCGCTGTGCATCCGCAGTGGATTCTTCTTGCATTTCCACTTGCATTTCGATTTCCTCTTCAATGGTTTCTGCTTCAGCTTCCAAATATTCATACTCTTCAGTGTAGCTTTCGGCAGTATCAAGGTATTCTGTATTTTCTTGAGACTGAATTATTTCCACTTTAACATTTGTGCTCGGTTGACAACTACTGCTGGAATCTGCTTCTGGTGTAGGGTCAAATTTCTCCAGCGTTGTCAGCGTTGGAGCATCGGGCTCATCAGGATCGAGATTAGTGCTAGGTGGTGCCGGTGGCGGTTGGGCGATATATTCTTGTTTCAGTATTCCTAATGGAGGAACGATTTGAATTTGAGGTTTTGGCGATGGTTGATTCAGAGGTGGTTCTTGTTGTTGAACTTCCGCTGTTGCGGGTGGTGATGGTACATTTTGTACCATTTCTGGTGCGGAAAATGCTTCCGCCAGAAGGTCACTAGCTTCCTGGCATTGGTTTCTGAATTTGTACAATTGCCGTAAAAAATCTTTACAGGGAAGGCAAATCTTTTTTGGAAACCCATCGTCTGGCTCTATCTGCAAAATTTAAGAAATATCATTGAATCAGATCAAATTGTGTGAAAGCTCATTAATATTATCATTATGTGTTCAGCATTACCGTAGAACCATAGAGGTAACTCTAAGACAAGTAGGTCCCGAAGAAACGTACTCAACTTTTTGGCTCAGCTCTGGTACTCTCTTCGGTCCCAAGCTAATCGATTCACCCCTCAAAACATAGGAAAATCCACTAGCCCTTCATTTTATCTGTCAAACTTTCATAGCGAATCAAAACAAACATAGTGTAGTACTAAAATTTCGACTAGAATGGAGTACGTTAATCATTTGCTTGGGACCAATAGGCTAGTCAAGTAGTGAGCCAATTTTAAATCGTTAGTTTCGTATTGATTAAGACCACTGGGTCCCGAAGAAAATCATTATTATTTTTGGCTCACTCAGTACCAGAACAACGGTCCCAAGCAGTCCCAAGCTATTTCACTCACCCCTGCATGTTCTGCATGAATCCACACACCCCTGATGTTATCTGTCAAACTTTCATAGCGAATCAAAACAAACATAGTGTAGTAATAGAATTTCAACTAGGATAGGGTACGTTAATCGTTTGCTTGGGACCAATAGGCTACTAAAGTGGTGAGCCAATTTAAAATCGTTAGTTTCGTATTGATTGTTGGTAAAACCCCTGTACGATACAAGCAATTAGTGACGTCACTACTTGCGTTTACGTTGATTTTTTGGTTCACTAATACAACAATATTTCACGATCTGCTTCACCTCTCTGTGTACCTCATTGATTGCACCATATACTTACTTCTGACAGACCAGAAATCAGTTTTGACAAACACCTTCTCGACAATCGAACGATCAACAACAGAGGGATTTCGAACATTACAATAAATTGAGCACAGCCTAAGATCAGATAACACTTTAACACCCTTGGGTCCTTCGTGACTTGTCCGGGGTGAGATTTGAACTCGTGACTTTGGCGTGAGAGGTATGGATGTTAACCCCTACGCCGGGTCGCCCCAAAAAAATTATGATTCTGGCATTTCTTGGCATTATCTCGAGAATTTCTGAAGAATTTTGAGGTGAAAATTAAAACAATTCTAATGATGAGTCCAACGGAATTCAGAGGAATATCCTAAGAGAGGTCAGGCTGGATTTTTTTAAACTTTATTTTTGAGATTTTTAGCCGTAGGCTAGTTCATCTCGTCCATGAAAGGGGACCCCCAACAGAGTAGTTTTTACAGTGTTTACTTTAACCGAAAATTGGTTCCTGGCTCGATCGTACATTTACACAACATATTAAAGACACACCATTAAAATCTGAATAAGACAGAGCTTCACACCGGGGGAACTGGGAGGACCCCCACCAGGCAGTGATGTCCCAACAGTCGAAAGGAATTAATGAAGACTAAACCTTAAATGCAGCATCCTTTAAAAAGTGCATTACTGCTGCCAGTGTGGAGGGATCATCACCCAGCATGTCGCGTATGCTATTTGCAAGCCCGTGGAATTCCCGCAGGTTCTGATACTGAGCGCATACGCATAGAATGTACTCGATTGAGGCTGGAGTTCTGCAACCAACACAAGTCCTGAAGAACTTATGAGGACCTTCTGATTCCTGGTAACAACTCAAGAGATTTCCGAGGGAGTTCTAAGAAGAATTCTTAAATAGTTCTGAGTAGAATTGAAACGAGAAGAGCTTCATTTTTGTTCTAAGAAGATTTTCTGAGAGCATTGCAATTGGATTTTGAGGGAAAATGCAAAGGGAGATCGAAGCATGATTCCACGGTTATTTAAGGAGAAAACTTAGGGAATGTCAAGGAATATTAAATAGGAATTGTGAAGAGAATTACAGGTGAGTTTTAATGAGGATGTTTAAAGGGTTTCCAAGAGAATTCTGACTAAAATTTCTGGAGAATTATGAGAATGATATCACAATAATTTTAAGGTGTATTTCAAAGGAATTCCGTGAAGATTCCAAAGTAATTCTTATGTGAAACTCAAAGTGGAATTCCATTCAGAAGAATATTTCTAGGAATTTCAGAAAAGAATTCAAAAGTAAATTAAGGAATCATTCTATTGAAGTTTTGGAGGAATAAATATTGCGCATTTTGCACCTTACTGGACTCCGCACTTTGAAAGTGCGGGGATGAAATAAGTGCGGGCCATGCGTATGACAGATAGAGTTGTCAAAGTGACTGATTTTTGTTCGAAATCAAAACAACAACAAAGTGTCTGTTTTGGTTTTTGTTGTAGTTTTGATTTCAAGATCTTTCACTCTCATTGCATTCTACTCGAAACACGTGTAAAAATAATTTTGCAAAATATTTGCAATTTTGCAAACAATTCTAAATTACTTATTTGTGAACAATTATATGGTTTTCCAAGTATGAATTAGATTGAAAATGATTTTGAGGCGTGTTTAAATTCAAATGGTACACCTTTTTTGTTTCCAAATGTGTTAACCAAATGTGAAATAACCAAAAAGTTCGTTGTTTTTCGTCAGCGTACCATCAAAGTGTGACTCAAAATATTCCCAAAAATCCAGTCACCACTGCAACAGACAATACTAAGAAAATTCTGAGGTGAATTCCAAAAAAATCAAAAGAATTCTGACGAGAATTCCAAGGTAGTTATGCTGGAATTATTAGAAATTCGAGGTGAATTGCTTCTAGAATTTTCTGCAGATAATTTCTAGTGTGTATTTAAAGAAAATTATGCGGTTATTACCATAGTGAGTTGGAGTCCCAACACAGATTTGTAAGAGGATTAAAAAAGGAAAGGACTCAATTATACGAATGCAAAACAGCTACAGGCATCGAAAGCTCTCAATTAATAAATATGGAAGCACCGACAAACCGACATGAATGACCATGTCAAAAACACTAAAATTTCTAACCAAAGTACACTATTGACATCTGGCTCCGTGTTCGCGGGAAATATTTAGCTAAGCCATGAACCCGCATGCAAAAGTAATGAATTATTTTTTTATCTAGATCAAAAAATCCTATAGTTTTTTGACACTGATGACGGATCACTGCACATTTAAGGTTCAATTTACTTTGATGCTTTTTCGAAAAATTGAAGAGCAGTTTTTTTCAACGCATTAGTTCAGATTGCAAAATGCTTGCACTATTCGATTCCTTTTGCTATTCTAAACAAAATGACGCGAGCTTTTAGCAATCCGAAATAATGCGTTGAAAAAAACTGCTTTTGAATTTTTCGAAAATGTATCAAAGTAAATTGAACCTTAAATCGACCGTTTACGATTTTCGGGCATAAGTCAGAATTAATTATCATGTCGGTTTGTCGGTGATGAAAGTGCATCTAGAACACTACGTTGAGAGCACGCAATAATCTAATATGCGATAAGCAATAAGCTTGAAATGCGAAGAAGAGCTCCAAGATAAATCTGACTTAGAAAAATATTAAGATTCTAAGACTTCGAATAACATTTGATTTATTTTTTTTAGATCTTGGGGGCTGTTCATAAACTACGTAAACACTTTAGAAGGGGTTGGCTAATGTCTACGACTCAAACAAAGTTTCCAAAATTTGTATGGACGATTGTCCAAGCGGAGGGAGAGGCTGAGATCTTAAAACCATTTCGAAATTTACACACATTTAAAACTGCTGATTTTGTTCAAGACTCCGAGACTGTCAATGATTTTGCATAGTAGATTTCTCTTCCTTTGAACTATGATCACATCATTCAACAACAATTTGACGGAAACGTGCACTTTTATCACACTTTTTTGCATTTTTGGGGCTGTCCAGTTTCAGATGCAATCAGCAATATAGAGTCGATACATTCACTTGCGTGCTCCAAAATCTACTATTTCTAAATGTCTTAACTAAACATGAAATGTTTTGATGACACCGGAAAATAAAATTCTTCACAGAATTACACATGTCTTCAAAATGCATACATGTCATCAAATCTGGTTACCCTGATCCTGAGTCCTGAGATGAGTTTCAAAGAAATAATTTAGTTAGTGCAGGTATAGAAAATTGTTCAAGATCCCGTGTCCCGTACACCAAAATTCAAGTCCATGATTAGGAATTTGTTTCAAGATTCTGAGACTTGGATTGCAAACTAATTTGAAGATCCTCGTCTAAGATAACTGTACAAGATTATGAGGCTAGCAATTTCTGAAAAGTTTAACAGTGTAACTCGTAAAAATCCGCTATACGCCGTATAGATTCTGTGACATGAACAATTACCAAGAAAACATGAACACAATTTTGAAGTAACACAAATATTCAAAATGGAGGATATCCAAGCTTGAAGCAATATTAAAGGGAGGCAGCTCCCACACCTGAACCCTACCTATCGACCCTAATGACTCATGGACCGGGGACCGACGGCTTTACTTACTGATCAGAGATGTTATGCCTCAGAACATCCCGGCGACGCCGACTGGGATTGAACCCAGGGTCTTCTGGGGTGAGAGGTAATCACGCTTACCACTACACCACCGGTAAATATTCGAGATATCGTACGATTCATTTTTAATATAACAGAATTTAATTAAAATAAGTATTACAAATATATGTTGACGTTCAAATCAGATTCTCGGTCATTTAAGTTTCTCGGTTCATTGATCACCCTGTTAGTTGCTTCGCACAATAAGCTTCTAGTAAAAATTAGAATCTAATTTCTGTATATTATACAGATTTTGTTTTTTTGCCACCGTGAACTCACGAAATCTCACTGTCAGGAAATTCATTTTGTTTTAGTCGGGTACTCACCAGCTGCCCGAGCATCTCAACGGTTTCTCGAACCAGCAAGCTGAGCGACTCCTTTTGTGTTCTGGAATTCTTTTCGAAGATATTGACCAAACTCGAAGTATTCAAGCATAACCGACAAATTTGATCGAAATGGGCACGATTTGGCCGATTCATGGTTACGAAAATGCAAAATTGCAAACAATATTTGTAATTTAATAATGGTTTTTTGTTAAACACATCCAACTTCTTCACTCGCGAGCTATTTGATGTCGGTAAACAAACTGCTGTCAAATGTTTTAGATCAGTTTCGGGTACTGAGATGCTTGATAGTCACTCACCTGTAATTTTACCGCTCTCAGCAGCCTTAACAGCTGTTTGTTTTTTTTTTAATTAAATCGAACGTAAACATTCTCAAATTCACTTTAAATAATGGATAGTTGTGAAAATTCAGCCCTGAAAGACTGTTTAGTTTCCGTAAAAGATATCAATGCTGTTTGTCGGTGCTGTCTGGCATCGGAGGAGTTGGTGGAAATCTTCATCAACGAAACGGAATTGAATTCGGAAGTGGAAGCTGTGTTGCGTCCAGCCTACATTATTGTGGAACCCGACGATGGCCTGCCAAATCTAATTTGTGCATCCTGCTTGACTGTGCTGAGAAATTGGCACCAGTTTCGATTGAAGTGCGATGGATCGTACAAATTGTTGGAACGCCTTCAGGAATATCCTATCGATGTGCTGGAGGAAGCGGAAGAAGTTTGCGTCGATCCTGGCATGATAATAGAGGATGTGAAGATCGAAGAAATCTACGTTCGTGATGGAGCGCTGATAGACAATCTCCAAGAACAAGTACAGGATGCTGCTGGCATCACGACAGATCAAGAAAAGGTTGTCTCCACCTGTGTGAAAATTAAAGTGGAATCGATTCCACAGCGGGAACATGAAAGTACCGTTATTTCAGCCGCATTGGAAATGCATAGGGCGAAAGTTGTCCGCAAAGAGATAACCGGTGGCAAGAAAAAGCGTTATGTATACCTTCGCCAATGTCCAATTTGTGGCATAGTATTGAAGCGTGGCCTTAAGGAGCACATAATGATTCATAATGATCCCACGGGGCGGCCCTTCAAGTGCGATAACTGCGACAAGACATACTGCCGTAAAGAGAACCTACGGCAGCATCAAGAGCGGGAACACATGATGATTCGCTATCCGTGCGATATTTGCGGCAAAATATTCAGCACTAGGGATGTCCTCTCAGCCCATCGAAAGCTGCACAATTCCGAGGTTAAGTTCAATTGTGACCAGTGCGATCAGGTTTTTAAATCGAACAAATACCTCTACAAGCACAAGCAAAAACACCTGGGCATCAAGAAGTTTGTGTGTTCGTATTGTGGAAAATCATTTCTAGTTGGGTAAGTCGCCCACAACGTTCTTTAACGGCAAGCTTACGGCCCAAAAAACGGGCCAGTTTTAGTTTTTCTAAAAAAAAAATGGAAAAAGTAGTGACAGTCGGGGTAGTGTCCGCTAAATAGAGGAAAAATTAACAACTCACCATTTCCATTATTTTTAGACAAATCTAAAGTTATATTTTCAGGGAGCTTCCCGTTATGCCGATAAATATTGACCTGTTTGTATTTTTTAGCGAATATCTGAAAGATCATCTGCGAATACACACGGGCGAGAAACCATTTGATTGTAAGATTTGTGGTAAGGCCTTCCGGACGACGAATCACCTGAGGCAGCACACACGAACTCACTCTATACCGGATCAAGATCCTAATGAAAAGGAATTCCCGTGTGATCAATGCGACTTGAGCTTTTCCAGTAACAAACAACTGAATACTCACCTTAAGCAGCACCTGGAGGATTTAACAGTAAACATGTAACTAGGCAATGTTTGAAAAATTATTTTGTAATCGATTCGTCTTCGAAATCCATCAACCACGTGTGGTAGTTTCGTGGAAATATCTTATACACTGTTCTGCCGCTATTCCCATAACAGTCCCACATCCTGTGGATTTCCTATCTAAATGAGACTGTTTTGCGAATAACGGCAGTGTTGGTACGGCTGAATTTTCGATCAACAATGTCTTGCAATGCCTGGCATCATTAGGGTGTTTTGTGCAGAGTGAAGATCATTAGATGTTTAATCAGGCATATCATTTGAAAACGACACAAAAGCATTTGTCAACAAACTTTCTAAGGCCCTTTACACGCGAACCAAAGTGCGCCCACGCAAACCAATACCACTTTCGGAAAGTGTGCCTGCGATTTGCATTGAGTGTCGGAGATTGTGAGTTAGCTGAAGGATGTCTCGCTGGATATGCCCAAGACTGGGCGGGCGGTAGCTGGTGACCGTGAACGGTTCCTGGGGAAAGCACTTGATGCGAACCTCCTCCCAGATCACCGTGGCAATACAGGAAGTATCACAACAAAGGTAATTGCTATTAGATATTTTGCAAACAGTGACAGATAGCGGACATGAAGAACCTGTGGAGGTGCCGGGCAAAGGTGTTTATCCTAGACAAATGGTAAGTTATAAATTCTCTGTTGTCGTTGTCGTAATCGCCGTCGTAGTCGTAGGCAGTACCGTTAGTATATTTAAAATTAAACATCAACCGCTGAAAATATGCATTATCGCGTATTTCTGTTGTTCATTACATTCCAAGTGAAATTCGAGAACGTAATTTAATTTGAATAGCTTGTTAAACCAGGTCTTAACAATCGTCACGTCGGTCAAAACTTGTTATGATTGTCATGCGTAAAGAGAAAATCGAAACATTGAACGTCGCGTGAAAGTGGATCTTAATGAAGGCCTAAGTACTCTTTCGTAGCTTTTAGTTTTAGGATTTCAAAGATCGCCGGTTGCAGTGGCTTGCTTACTGAGGAGAAAAACGCGGTCCCAGTTCCTTTCATATGAAAAATATTAAAATATCGCTTGTTTATCGTGTATTTTGTAAAACTTTTCGTTGTCGGTGCCGGGTTTGAATAGTTATAAAAACTTGAGTAACGCTATAATGTGATATGAGAGGCTCGGTGGCCTTTGAGCAACCGTTTCTGCTTACTGAGCAGAACATCATGAGTCTAATCTCAAGCCTATCCACATTCAAGATTCGTCAATGATTAAAAAGGAGCTCGTCTGCCTAGTGGCAAACGTTTTTGCTTACTGAGCAGAAGACCGTGGCTTCAATCCCAAGCTCCTTCGCGTTATACGATCGTTAGGACATCAATTCAGCTTATCGTTTACCAAAACGAACCCTGCTGCTAACCCAACCCTCTTACCCAACATCCCTGTGATTCCTCGTGGAAGTGCAGAGGACTCCTTGGCTTCCATCAAAGCGAGTGTCATGTCAACACATTACTACCCATTCCTTTCTTGACCTGCGTTCAGGCGCGGCTGGCGCTGGTATTGCCTAATTCGAGATCACCAGTTTTTACACATTGAGGATGATTGCTAGTCCCAAGCATCGTCTATTGGTTCTCTTTGTAATTACAGATGGTCTGGCAATAACAGAGTAGCAACCGTGGGCGGTCAATCATGCTCATGCTCATGCTCATAATTTATTTTCGATGTGTCAAATTTAAGTGGGATAGTTCACCAAATCAATGTCAACATTCCAAAGGGCCGTAATTGCTTTTGTAAACAATGACCAGCCGTTGATTTCTAGCAAATAAAAGCTCACCCCTCCAAATTAACAATGCTAGCTGGTAGAGGAAAAAGTTATATTTCGAAAAATAATATACATATTATGTTCAATGTTCGAAAATCCCGGTGTTATCGCACAATCGGTTTTCAAACAGAACTCAGCCAAGGTTATCGGGATGTATCTTCTAGTCTGTCAGAAATAACCACGCTCTGATAGCAGGTTTATTTGGTAACTTTCCATCCGTCACTTTAAACCACTATGTAGTTAAATGTAACAATTTAACTCGCCAATTGCGACACAGCCTAAAAATGTTTAAATTTTGATGGAGGATTTCGGGTTGTTTTCAACAACCGTGAATCACGAACTTAAAGCGATCTAATACACCCTGAATCTGGCAACAACAGCTCTGGGCACTCGTGATCATCCCTCGTTTGTTGCGTGTTTACTTTTTTGACAAACAAACGTCCGAATTCGCAGAAAATATACGAATAGTTTGCATTGCTGTTGGATTTTTCTCAAATTTTGTGCAATTTAAGAGTGATTTTATAGTTCTATCTGTACCAAATCGTCGAACTGAACTGCCACCGTTGAAATCCAACCGAAAATGGGTAAGGGTAAAGCGGAAGCTGGTACTCCAAAGTACCTGGCCAACAAGATGAAGGCCAAGGGTCTCCAGAAGCTGCGCTGGTACTGCCAAATGTGTGAGAAACAGTGTCGCGATGAGAACGGATTTAAGTGCCACACGATGAGCGAGTCCCACCAGCGGCAGATTTTACTGTTCGCCGGTAATGCTGGCCGGTTCATCGATAGCTTCTCATCGGAATTTATGACCGGGTATTTGCAAATCCTCCGTAGGCAGTTTGGCACCAGACGAGTAGCGGCCAACAAGGTCTATCAGGAGTACATTTCCGATAGGCATCATTTGCATATGAACTCTACCAAGTGGCATTCGTTGTCGGAGTTTGTGAAATTTCTTGGACGCAATGGACACTGCGTGGCGGACGAAACGGAGAAGGGTTGGTTCATCACGTACATTGATCGGGATCCGGAAACGCTGGCTATGCAGGAGAAGGTGGCTAAGAAACAGAAAATGGATAAGGACGACGAAGAGCGTTTGGCGGAGTTTATTGAAGAACAGGTTCGACGAGGTCATAAGGAGGAAGAACCGAGCACATCCTACTCTGGACTGAAGCGCGAAAATGAAGAGGAAACCATCAAGCTGGACATGAAGCTTGGAGCCATCTTGAAAGCGGAAAGTAAACCTATCAAATTGGAAAAACGGCCACTTGAGCTATCGGATGAATTTAAAAAGGAGAAAAAGTACAAACCTGGTTCCTCGAGTGGATCGAAAAAACCTTCGGTCCTGGAGGAGATGATTCGAGAGGAAGAGATAAAGAAAGAAAAGAGCAATCGTAAGGATTATTGGTTGGCAGAGGGGATCGTCGTAAAATTGGTTTCCAAGTCCCTCGGAGAAAAGTACTACAAAGAAAAGGGTGTAGTTCTAGATGTGATAGACAAGTACAGGGCCAAGATCAAGCTTCTCGAGACCGGAGACAAGCTGAAAGTAGATCAGGTAATTAGAGGTTCCTCAATTATCCATCGTTTTGAAATAACGTTTAAAAATTTAAGTTTTTGACTAATAACTGCTTCCTTCTCCCAGGCCCATCTGGAGACGGTAATACCAGCGATCTCGAAACAGGTACTGGTGCTGAACGGTGGCTATCGAGGAAATATCGCCACTCTTAAAGAAATCGACACCGACAGTTACTGCGTAACGATCGAAATTGCGTCCGGTCCTCTGAAAGGCCGAATCGTCAACAATGTACAGTACGAAGATGTAAGTAAGTTGTTTTAAGTGCGCTACCGATAAGTGGATTTAGGTTAGTAAAATAAAAACTATGTAACAAAGACGGAAACCACCTATTTGCAATTTTCGAACGCACCATGGAGCACTCTAGGTTCGGTACATTATCCGTCTGCGTAAGTGTGATCGTACGTTCGTTCGGCGGTGTTTGCATGCATGCATTGGCTTAATTTCAGTATAACTGTTACGCGACGATCGACCAGCCGACCGACCGACGCTCAACAAACAAACACGGATGGACACAATCCAGTCAGTCACAGTTGTCCAAAATGTTTTGCTTCGCTTCCGATCCGATTCGATTCGTTTTTGTTTCTCGTCGGGCTACCTACCCTACATGCTACCGCATTTTCATGCACGTTTCTTGCATTCGAAAACATACCCGAAAGCCTCTCTCTCTCTCTCTCTCTCCCTCGTCACTTTTTTGTTTTGCTGTTTCCCATTTGCCAACGGAAGAAAGGTTAGCGGTACGTTGATGCTGCACGATTTCAATAAGACACTGATGGGATGCAGATGGTGTTATTGTAGATGGTGCTCTGGTCATTGAACTAACCTGAAATATTTTCATTTAGTTTTTGAAATTTCAACTCCAAATCTTAAAGATTCTGGCCCTAACTGAATTTACCATCTGAGATTAGAAAATAATTAGAAAACACTTGGTAAAACTTTAGAAATTCCAAGACATGAAATAATGTTCAGACTTCTGGGATTTGCATTTGCATTAGTCGTAGCAAATGTGGATAATCGATTGATGGCTAATGCTCGAAGTCAGCTGATGTGGTCGGGTTGACTGATTATAATTTTCTCATAATTTCAACCTTGCAAATGTTATTTCTTTCTAGATATAGATTGACAACCATATGTCCAAATCCTGCCCATTGATGACTTTCTACGGACGATTCAGATGACTACCCACCGCAAGCCAGCGCATAATTACAGTACATATGTGGTATCCAATTCGTTACAATTTTCTTCGCATGCCTTCATTATCCGATCGCCAAATGGCAAATGCGTGTTGCGAAAATGTATAATGCAAAATCAGGTGAAATAAGTTTTATTGTGACTGCGAGTTACTGACTGGTTGCTAGCTTTTACTGTCAAAATATGCACATGTCTGGTAATGGAAAATAGTGTCTCTCCTACCTTGCGTGGTGCGGCGTGCGTCATGTTCGTCGTTTTATACCCATTGGTTTCGCCGATCAGATCTGGCACGCGCGCTAACCTAATGTGCATGGGTGGTAGTTGTTCACTGTCGAGTGTTTGGTCAACCATTCCAATGCTGTGCAGTGTGTGGATTTCGATGTGGTGTGAATTAATGATCTAGTATCGTGCGCTGGATAATTCGTTACTCATGTTTCTATATCTATTATAATATTCTTCCAATAATAATATTAACACGTGTAACTTTTCATACATAGCCTAAATAGAACCTCGTCGTAACATGACTTACCCTCTTACATATCAAATTTCTAGGCGATTATCGGAGACTTTAATGTTCATCTAGGTGTACCGTATGCGTGATAATGTTTGCACCATCGTAAAAATATGGTTCCCGTTTCACCTCTGCATACAATGCCTTGATTTTCTTTGCATGCAAGTAACCTATAGCTCATACAGTAGTAGGCTGTGTATAAAAAAAAATTTACTTAGTTTGACAGTTGCACCATGACGAAGTGGCAGCGTATTCGTGATTTGTCCCACGCGCAAATGTCGCAAAAAGACATTTCAATCGCCGTGGGAGTGTCCCGGTGGACCGTCAAAAAGGTTTTAGACCGAGGAAAGAAAGGATAACTATCCGCGAAGGTGACCATAGGTCGTCCGAGGTCAGCTCGGGTTCCAAGGGTTATCGCTACTATCAAAAGGAAGATTCAGGTGAATCTAGTGCGTTCAATAAGGAAAATGGCAAAGGAACACGGGATCAGTGACTCGTAAAGGAATATTGCGGGGCGAAATCGAGGGCACGGAAAAAACTCACATGATTACCAACCGCATCCGGGAGCTACGAGTCGAATGATGCAAGAAAATCTTAAACTTCCTTAAGCGAAAAAATCCGGTAATCCTGTTCACCCACGAGAGCATGGTTACCGTCGATCCCGTATCAAATTCCAGAAGCGACCGGTATATTAGTTCTCTTCCGGTAAAAGACGTGGCCGACGAGCACAAGAACGTGTATCTGACCAAGCATTCTGCTAGCGTTATGGTGTTTGGATCGGTGGCTTCCTATGGCAAAAAATGGACCCGGTGTTCATTCCAGAAGGCGACAAAGTCAACACGGAGGTCTACATCGGGATTTTAAGTAAGTATGTTCTTCCGTGGATCAAATGGTTCCAGACTACATTATTAAAACCTGCCGTGCATTCCGGAAGCATGTGGAGGCCGTAATTGCAGCAAGTCGAAACTCGATCGATGATTAACATAGTTGAAGACTCTGAGAAACATCCCCCCTTTGGATAAATAAAAAAAACTCGAAAATTTTGATTTTTTTTTTATTTTTGCATTGCTTAATGGTGCAAACATTATCACGCATACGATACAGAGCCGTTATGACCATAGAATTTACATTGGTCCGAACCTACTACACCAAGAATGCAACACAAACGGTTTGGAATTGAAGAATCTCCTGCACAGTTGAACCAACAATCAATACGAAACTAACGATTTTAAATTGGCTCACTACTTTACTAGCCTATTGGTATCAAGCAAATCGACTAACGTAGTCCATTCTAGTATAAATTCCAGTACTACACTATGTTTGTTTTGATTCACTATGAAAGTTTGACAGATAAAATGAGGTGTTTTTCCTATGATTTTCCTATGTTTCGAGGGGTGAATCGATTAGCTTGGGACCGAAGATAGTACCAGAGCTGAGCCAAAAAGTTGAGCTCGTTTCTTCGGGACCTTCTGGTCTTAGAGTTACCTCTATGGTTGAACAGTCTAAAGTATTTCAAATCATCCTCAGTACGATTCATGTGGTTTAACAGAAAAAAAAGCGAGTTGCAAATCGATCACGTGTTAATGAGCATTATGAAATGCTACAAACATCCAGAGGTTAAGGCATTTTTTCATCCAGGCAAGCTGAGTGACCACAAGGTGATCATAGGAATTCCAAAAGCCAAAAATCCGAATAATTTATCTTCAACTCCCGTCAGTTCAACGTCTACTCGCGCTGAAGCGAAGCGTCCAAAGTTCGATGTGGATGCGCTCAAAAACGATAAGGGAACCAGAGAAAAGTATTAACGAGGTCTGAATGTCAACCTAAGCAACATCCTATCAAATCGGATGAGCACCAATGAGAAATGGAAAGCATTATCGGACGCCATCACAAAGAGGCCGCCATGTCAACGTTGCAAAAACCGCCGTCACTAATGACCCCAAGAAGAGCCAAAGCATCGAAAAACTACGTTGAGATCCCTCAACAACTCCTGATGGATAGATCCAACAGTACTCTAAGGAGAGAATGCAAAAAAGCACGAAAGGAGAAGCGGTAGGCATTCGAGCAACATTTCAACGAAAAAGTTCAGTAATTTTTGGTTGAAACAACCCACGACTTTTTTTTGACTTTAAATGATCTATATTTCTTGAATTTGTGTGGTTTACATGTATAACTTATCAAGTGACACAGATGCGTCTTTTCAACTTTAGTTCTTTTGATATTTCAATTATTATTAATTACATACAGTTCCTAGTCCTATCAGGCCTGTTTTAAGTATGACCACCTTGGTGGGATTGGTTTGTTTTAAATTTGAAAAAGGAGACTACTTATAACTACTATTTACAACTATAACTAACCTACAACTACTATATACACCTAATCTACTATATACAAATTGCTTATCAAAGCATGTTCTGATAAATTACATTTTTGTGCAAATTTAGTCTTAATTTCGTTAATTTTGGAATCTATTTTGGCAATGCCTGCCTTTCATGTAAATTTGTTATTCTAGTGTCGAAAGGACGATCAAGAACCGTCCCCAGCACTCTATTCTGAGCGATTTGGATTTTGTTCCTGTGAGTCTGTGCACATGATTCCCACACCGGAGCTGCGTAGAGGATCGCGGGAGCTATGATTTGTTTGTAGACGGCCAGTTTGTTCACCCTTGAGAGGCGGGATCTGCGGCAAATCAGCGGATACAGACACCTAACCAAGGTAGAACACTTGACTACAGTTTTCTCTACATGCGAACGGAAGAGGAGCTTTTCATCGATCAACATCCCGAGATAGGTTACTTCGGCAGACCACTCAACCCTTGTGCCATCCATGATTACAGTACAAGATGGAGCCGGTTTCGGTTTGGGCGATTGCCGATGGAGGAACATGATCGCTTGTGTTTTGGTGGCATTGATTTTGATTTTCCACGTGGTGGCATAATCAGCAAAGGCGCTAAGGCATCGTTGAAGTTTGTTCGTTATTTCGCGAGGCATCCTTCCTTTGACGGCTATTGCGGTATCATCTGCGAACAGGAAAAACACGCAACCTTCTCCAAGGGGAGGAATGTCGAAAGTGTAAATGCTGTAAAGCAATGGGCCCAGCAGACTGCCTTGCGGGACTCCTGCTGGGATGGAAAACGTGTCGGAAAGACAACCATTCAACGATACCTTAAACGACCTTTGCTGGAGGTAGTTACGGGTGATTTTAACCAGATGTAAAGGAAAGTTGAAGTTACAAAGCTTGTACACAAGTCCGTCATGCCAAACATTGTCAAACGCCTTTTCAACGTCTAACAAGGCCATGGCTGTGGACTTGGATACAGCTTTGTTACTTCGGATGTTATTCATCACCCGTACTAGCTGATGATTGGTGGAGTGCCCATTTCTGAATCCAAACTGTTCCGGAAGGAGAATGTTGTTTTCCTCGACAAACTTGTGCAAACGATTGAGAATGAGTTTCTCGAACAATTTGCTCAGCGCTGAAAAGAGGTTGATTGGTCTGTAGCTTGAAGGCAATGTTGGATCCTTACCGGGCTTGCGGATTGGTATGATTTTTGCTACTTTCCAGATGCTTGGAAAGTAGTGCAGTTCCAAGCATCTGTTGAAGATAGCGGTTAGA